CAGGGGGGAACAGGAGTTAATAGGTCATTAGCTACATAATGAATTCAAGGCTAGCCTGGGATACATGAGACTGTCTAAAACAAAACAAAACAGCAACAACAAAAGCCTATTTGAAATGGTCCTGGCTACTGTCTCTGTCCTGATGGATCCCTGTCCTTGGAACCTACCCAGAATCTCCTCTGCTGGGATGTGAAGACACCCCGAGTCCCTCGTCTCATTCACTCCTTCTCTTCCTGTCATCGTGACTGGGTCACTGGCTGTGCCTGGACCAGAGACAACATACTGGTGAGTGAAGAGATGGACGAAAGTGGTGCATAGCCTGGCAGGTGTCCTGGAGGAAAAGAACACTCTCCATTTCCAACTTTTTCTAGCATCTATTAATAATAGTCATGTTGACATTTACTGTTCGGTGTATATGGTGGTTTGACCTGAGCTCAGTGACTATATGGAGACACTTAATCCTTACAATACCCTGTAAAGTAGATACCACTTTTATATCTACTTCAAAGACAAGAAAACTGAACCCAGAAGAGCAGTTCCAAAGTCATAGCAGTCATAAAGCTGAGCCAATAAGCACTTTTTATTTTAATATTTTTTACATTTTTATGTATTGATTTTGTGTGCATGTGGGTGCACATGCCGTGGTGTGCATGTGGGTGTCAGAAAACAACTTGTAGTAGTCAGTGGTTTTTTTTTTTTCCACTGTGTGGGACCTAGGATTAAACTCAGGTTGTCCAGTTGTCCTCCTTTTTGGTGGTGGATAGTGAACTCGGGGCCTTGCACATACTTGGCAGGTACTCTGCCATCTAGCCACATCTCTCTAATTTAAGGCCCATGTTTCTTTAGGACTTTATTTTAAAGTATGTGTATATGTATGTGTCTGTGTGGGTTAGTGCATGTGAGTTCAGAGCCCATGGAGGCCAGATGAGGACACTGGATCCCCTGGAGCTGGAGTTACAGGTGGTTGTGAGCCTCCCAGTGTGGGTGCTGGGAAGTGAACTCACCAAAAGCAATGTGTGCTGTACTCTCTGCACCTGACCACTGGGCCATCTCCAAAGCCCTAAGCCCATGTTCTTAACAAGAATACATCACTGTCTCTCCAGCTTGGGAATGCCCTGGCCCCGAAAGATGTTGCTGTGATTTATTTGATCCTAAGACCTAAAATTAATTTCAGATTATTTTCTCAGCTTGTTGAAGCATATGTTTGCAATATAGAGTTTCTGTGTTTTTAAAAAAGAGACGAGAAAGGAATGAATACTGACTGAGCAGATTTGTCCTAGTCTACCCTTGTCTTCTGGATAGACAGTGCTCTCCTGGGTTCCGTAAAATGTCCACCTTTATCTGGACTCATTGGCACCATGTTAATTACAAGGACAGTAGTGACACACTGTGTGCCAGACAGATCCATCCCCAGAATAATTGCATCAAATAGTACTCTATTAGTCTTCCTTGAGTGGTTGAGAAACCCAAGCCTCAGGGACACAAACTTGCCCAGATCACCAAGTAATGAATGAATGGTGAGCGAGGATTTGAACCAGGAAAGCCCATGCTCATAATCACAATGTTCGCTGCCCTGCATCCACATTTTGAGCACATAAATATACTAGAGGGATGCTCATGATCTTGTTCCTCTCCCCTGACTGCAGATCTCTTGCTCCAGTGATGGCTGTGTGGGGCTCTGGGACCCAGAGTCCAGGCAGCAACTTGGCCAGTTCTTGAGTCACGAGAGTGCTGTGAGCGCTGTGGTTGCCATGGTAAGGCAAGAACTGCATCAGGGTTCTCTGGGAAGGTCAGGAGAATTTGGGAGACTGGGTGTACTAAGTATTCATCTCAAAGGCAAATATTAAAAACAAAATATTTAGAGCTGGATTACAGAACTGAGGCTGATGGCTGATGTGGTGGGTGGCGCATAAAAACACAGCCTGTGGCAAGATTGCAGTCCGGAGCTACTGGCCTCCACTGTTCTGAGTTTCTCAGCTTTTGACATCGGGTGGTTGGGGTCCTGCTTGAGTGTTTCCAAATTCTTAGTATCTTATTCAGGAATGAAATAAAGGGCCATACAGATTGCAGAAGTAGGGAAGTAACTTTACTGAAAGCAAAGCAATAGTACAGGTCAAATACTCTGACGAGTGACAGCAGGCCACATGAGTGAAAGAATGCTCAAGGTCCTGAGGTTATTGCCTGGGGCTTCTTTTATGGGGGTCTGAAGGAAGAAGGAGTTTGGTTACTAGGGCCGTAGTTTAGGTGGTTCTTTATTTTGATTGATAGGCTTGGATTACATAAGCCTTTGCTCACTGCACATGTCTTTTCCCATAATGCTTCTGCTTTTTAATCGTAGGCACATCAAATTATGCTTAGGCATAAGATGGTAAATAGGGAAGTCTCACTAAAACTTCACTTAGAGGACACAGTTTGCCTTATTGTACACGTACACCAAACCAGTTTAGGCCAGATCAGTCCCTCTACCCTCATAGCCAGATATAACAGTAGAGTACGATTGAACAGAATCTGTGATGGATGTTAAAGGGAGTAGAGACTCCATTATTCAGAGAGAGGTGTATGTGAAGCTCTGTGCAGGTAGGTGATGTAGGTTGCAAAAAGGTTGCTAGGTGCATTGCTCAAGAGGGGTGTATATGCATAGTGGGTGCAGGTAAGGGTCTTGGCAGCCAGATGCATTACCACAGAGTTGTGTGCATGGTCCAAAAGAGTGGAGCCCCAACTTGCTCAACTCTTCTTTATTCTTACCTGCCTCATGTCTCTCCTCTGACCCTGTGATCTGGGCACAGGAGGAGCATGTGGTATCTGTGAGCCGGGATGGGAGCTTGAAAGTGTGGGACCATCAGGGTGTGGAGCTGACCAGCATCCCTGCTCATTTGGGACCCATCAGCCAATGTGTAGCTGCCCTGGAGCCCCGCCCAGGTAGTAAGATGTTAGCCCTTTCCCCGTCCCAGCTGCCTTTTTCTCCTCTTCCTCTTCTTCTTCCTCTTCCTCTAAAGCACTGGGGATTAAGCCTAGGGCCTCACACGTGCTAGGTAAGTACTCTGTTACTCCCCCTCCTAACATTTTTTAAAAAAGATTTTTATTATGTTATGTGTATGTGTATGGGTGTATTGCCTGCATATGTGTAAGTGTACCCATGTTGTACAATGCCCATGGAGATCAGAAGAGGGCATCGGATCCCCTCGAACTGGAGTTAGGGGATAGTTGTTAGCTGCCATGTGGGTGTTGGGAACTGAATCCAGATCCTCTGCAAGAGCAGCCATCTCTACCTTCCTTTCTTAAAAACTTTCAGACTGGTTCTGAACTCTCTGTAGCCCAGGCTGGCCTTAATGTTGTGATCCTCCAGCCTTAGGCTCCTGAGTAGCTAGGATTACAGGCCTTTGCCACTCGGCCTGGCCTTTGTGTCTGAGTTGGTTTCCTTGTCTTGTCAGCGGGACAGCCTGGATCGGAGCTTCTAGTGGTGACTGTTGGACTGGATGGGGCCACACGGTTGTGGCATCCCCTCTTGGTGAGTACTTTGCAAGAACTGGGATGAGGAAGCGGTGGAGAAGGTACATAGGACAACTTCTGTTGTGTCTACCCCCTGCTTCCTAGGTGTGCCAAATATGTACGCTCCAGGGACACAGTGGTCCAGTCACTGCAGCTGCTGCTTCAGAGGCCTCAGGCCTCTTGCTGACCACCTCAGAGGATAGTTCTGTACGGCTCTGGCAGATACCTAAGGAATTAGGTGAGTGAGGTGTGTGGAGAGAGGGATAAGCATGAAAGAAGGTGTGTGACTGGAACAAAGAATATCAAGGGTCACTGGAGCGTAGTGGTGCACGCCTTTAGTCCCAGCACTCAGAAAGCAAGAGGCAGGCGGATCTCTGTGAGTTCCAGGCCAGCCTGGTGTACATAGTGAGTTCCAGCCCAGCTGGGGCTACAGGGAGACCATCTCA